CTATACTTCAAATGTTCCCTTGTCCCTCCAAAAATAAAATTTTAGGTATACGATGCCCGCCAAATTAAGCCACTAGGTATGATCGATGCAGCCGTCTTGCACCTTTCCAATCATGAGATCTCGTGATTGATAAAATGTAGCCACACTTAATATTAAAAATATGTTAATAGAATAAACTGCTAATAAATTCAAATTATAAAATAATTGTACCTATTAATAAGACTAATTTCTCCACAATTGCCTCCACATTGAAAATATACAAATGCATAGTATAACTCATACTAAGACCATTTAAACTAATATTTTAATTTGATTTATATTTCAATTTTTATATTTGTTTCGCTATTCAATTATATATTATTTTGTTCTCTATATAATCTATTGTTTTGAAATTATTATAATGTATTTTTTAATTAAAATATTATTGTTAAAAAATTCGTTTTGCATTAAATATTAAAATAAATAAATAATTATATTTCTTTATATACATAAATATAACTGAAGTATATATATTAGGATGTCCCTTATTTTGAAAATTTTGGAAATTCTTCGGGCTCACCCCCCAAATTTGTGTGTAAAATCTTTCCATCCCAACGCACAGTGACATACAAGGAGGGCAACTTTGACAATTTTTTTTATTAAATTAGCCCGTTCAATTCGCATAGCATCACGGCATCTATGTATTGAAGACTTATTTATAATAAGAGAATCGACGTCATGACCTAAAGCTTCAACTGTTGCTTGAATAATGTAAACTGCGTCTCATGCGCTTATTTTACATCGATCTAACGCAGCTACGAGTTTCGGTGTTATGATATTTGTTTGACCCCTTTTATTCTGTTTTGCTAAAACATTAAAAGATTTTTCATTCTCAGATTCTATAGATGAAGAAGAACTTATAATTATATCATCTGATAATTAAGATATACTTTGCGTAGAATATGAAGTAGATGGACCGGCTACTTGGTATTCACTAAGCCTTTCTGTTTCCCTAATCTTACGTTTTTTAGATCTCTCTTCTTTCTCTTGTAATTTTTGGTCGATGCCACCTAGACAACTAATTCGACCAGGAAGTCTTTGGTTCATTAAAAATTGTTTATCGGTAACTATCATTATCAAATTTAAAGCATCGGCGTGAGCGATATCAACCAAATTATCAAAATTATTAATAAATTCAGTTTCTTTTACTCTAAACGTTTCTCCAATTTTGTGAGAATTCTTTTGTAAAATGCGCCACTTGTCATAAAAATTAACCAACTTATTTACACAATGGTAAAATGATCGAGTAGGAATTCGAGCATTTTTCCAGAAAATATTACACTCGCGAATAGTCAATGCTGCTCTTGCTCTTATAGTAAGATTAACAACTTTTAGGTTATAAAAAAAACTTTTAGAACTTGCCCAATGGATAGAAGTTTTGAACCTAAAATTTGAGTAGTCAAAGACCCTATTAAAAATATTTTATTTTCATTTCGTAATACTACGGACATTTTTACGTACACTAAAAGAAAAACACAATAGAAAGCAGTTCAACTTAATACGCGACGTGAGCAACTAAAGTGGTATAAGTATAAGTTCACTATATCTATTGCTGCGATTTGTAATAAATTTACGATTTCCAGAGTTATTTATAATTTTAAAATAATAACAATACATTAATCCAGTCATACCATAGTATTATCGGCGTATTTGTACGATAAGTTTTGTAATGTACCAGATGATAACTAACAGAATCTAGCAATAAAATTTATATATTTAGTAAAAATCGTAATATGATCGAGTTATTTCACCTATAGCAATAAATAATTTAATGAAATTTTTACTTATTATTTTTATTTCATAAAATTTAATTTTAAACAATTTTTGTATGAAACATTAGGTCGTATCACATATTGTTCGTCATATATGATGAATTATTCGTAAATATGCTAATTTCGGCAATTTTACGAAATATTATGTATTTTGACATTTTTCTAGAAAACTAATGGATTTAAAAGAAAAACTGTAAGGATTTAATTTATATAAAACAATAAGATCTACAATTTATTTTCAATATTTTTTTTGAGAGAGCGCTAATTTACGAGTTAATTGCTAAAAACTAAATAAGTACCCCTTTTGGCCGATTTTCAACCCCAAGTCGGCACGGGTTAAACTTATCTGATCGGCCTAAAGATTTTTGTAGCCACTTTTTATATGTATACACACAAATTTGTGGGGTGAGCCCAAAGAATTTCCAAAATTTTCAAAATAAGGAACATCCTAATATATATATATATAGACTGGAACAGATCTAACTGATATAACTTATGATCCACATAACATTATTGTATTAATCAATTTTTACAATATAGAACTGTATTTAAAATATTTTTTATGTTATTTTTTGCAATTAATATTTTAAGCATTAATTTTTTTTTTTTAAGATTTGAAGATAGTTATGTGGATTATAAGTTAAATGAATTGTCAGTTAGATCTTTTAAACCTTGTATATTATATATATTTTTTTTACGTTATGCTTATTAAATACATCAAATTAAATAAAATTAAAAATGAATAAATGCATAAAATAAGAGAAGAAATACTAACATAAGGTTTAAAAATATGAATTAATCTCAATTTTGGTGGGAAAATATCAAAAATTTACCTGAAATAGTATTTAACTGAACCATTGACCCAAATAAAACTGAAAATGCACCTTTACCGCCAAATAAGTGGCGCCAAAGCAGTATATTTTAAATGGGATCCTTACTCACTACTACCTCTACTAGTAAAGAATAGTACTATTGCAGCCCTGAATTGTATTGTACAGGTGCTTCCTCTGTTTGTGACCTTATTCAATTGTACTGAAGTATTACCATAGTTTTTGCTTCTTTATATCTAACGTTTTTAAAAGAATCTTTAACAATGCAATTTAACTCTTTTTCGCTTACTGACGTTGGTTGAATTAGTTTTGAAATATAAATTGAAAACTCACCTGCTTAGTTCGCCCAGAATTCCCACCAAAAAGTATCTTTTGCCGTTGATTTTGGCCTGTTTGAATTTGGATTTCATATGTCCATATGACTTTTATTATAATACATAAAAACGTGGTACATCAATACATATACTTTGATAATACATGTTTTATATTGATGTATTTTAATGTTTATAAAGCAGATATCTTTAAATTAACATCTGAGATTATATTTAAAAATACAAAATTTTCAATAAAATAAGAAACACTGAAATAAATATGTGTATACCACAGGCATATTTAATGGGGATATGGGCGATTACCCCCAATATATGGGGGAAATATATAATAATTTTAATATATGTAAAAACCATCTAACACTGCAATTTTTAAAAAATAATTCGACTATAGCATAAATTTCCACAGGAAACTGTAATCTCTTCAACCCCCTAGCTATACCACTATGAATTATAATATATTAATAAATTAGAAATATCATAAGTTATCTTTTCAATGTATTGATATAAAATGATAATTAGGAATGCATTATAGAATTAAAAAATAAACTGTTTAAAAAACTTATTAAAACTGTAAAAAATACATTTCTAGAAAATGAATATTTACTTAGACGAATTTCAATATATTGTTCAATTATGTTTATATTATTTATTATTAACTCTTTTGCCCTCAGAATTAATTTTTTTCTGCTTAATTGACTCAAGAGGTTTTTATAATGATCAAAAAGATTTTTAGAAAATGTTGGCAATTTTTAACCCATTATTTAGAATATGTTATCTCTGTTGGATATTGGAAATGAAATGGTCAAAATATGAATCATAAATATTTTACAATATCTAAAATACATATATGTTAAATGTACGTTCGAAATAAAAACGTGTGCATTTACCTAATAAAACTGCAATTACAATTAACCCACTTCACCATAATTCGGATTTTTTTTTTTAAAATATCTTATGTATTATTATCAGCATCAAAAAAAATTAATTTTTTTAATTTCCATTTTTAATGTAATATATCATTTTAAAGAGATCAAGTAACATCTTAATTTTTTTTTTAAATCTACATAGGATGCTGCTTCTGCCATAAATCACCCACCAATCAATGCAAGAAAAAGTTTCAAACAATTTATAATGTTATAACAAAACATTACTAAATTACTATACATATGTCTATTAAAATTGTATTTTTGCATATAATTATTTTTGTTATAGGAATATTTGTATCATATCCCCCAAAATTAGACATATAATCATTGGTAGTTAGGGGGCTCAAATACCACTATTAACCAACATGATTGTCTATAAATTGACATAGTAACTACTTTTTCTTTATGAATACTCCTTCAATTGGCCTATAACTTATGAGTTATGATCAGTCGGTCATATAAAGTGAAATAACTGATCATACATCAAAATATCTTTAGATTTATTTTTTATTCTATTATCTTTATTTTTTTTATTTACAAGCTTTCAAAATATAGAGTGTTCAATAAGGAAACAAGTTTCTATTGTTCTCATTATTTATAACAACTGGACTGTTTCCATACTTACTGAAACTCTATATATATTATAACTAAACAATGATGATCTGAAATTTAAATTAAACATATCTTTATACATTTTTTTAATGTGATTATACTACTATTATACTAATTTGAAAGTTTTAAATAAACTTATTATATTTATGTCAAATTTATTGCACGAAGAAGATACTTTTTTAATAAAAATTATTTACATTACTTGATTTGCAATATTTTTCATTAATAATGAGTTCAAATTTACAAAATATAACAAATGCTTTGCAAAGTAATTTTATATAAATTATATATTACTTTATAGTATTATGTATTACTTTTCATTAAGCCTTGTAAAGAATTTCTAATCAAAACAAAGATAAATTAAACAATTTCATTGTAAATTTTATTTAGTATCCAACTTGTTTATCACTAAAATTATTTCAATAGTATTATTAAAATTACAAAAATTCTTTATCATAGAAACTTTAGTACAACAATAAATATAGAAATTACAATTGCACAAAATTCATTTGTGACATAGATTTTCCAAATTAAAATGTATTTATAAAACTTACATTACATTTTATTGTCATATCACTTTCAGAATGATATCTCATTTATATGATTTAAATTGACTAAATTTACATTAAAATATGACTTAGAAAAATGATAAAACCTATTACAAGCGTAATTATTATTAACATAATAAAAATCCAGTCCTAACTGACTATTGACTAGAATGGTCTAGTTCGATTATTACATCAATCATATTATACAGAAAATAAAGGTTATTATTTTTTTTGTAATAATATTTCAAATGATAAATACCTTACTAATAATAATCATGTCTAATATAACAATAACAACAACAACAATAAAAATTATTAAATTAGCAAAAAAAATTACAATTACCTACACCGCCAGTCTTCATTAATGCTTACATTAATATACAATAATTTTTAATAAAAAATCAGTCATTTGCTGTTCATTAGTTGTATATCAAAAGTATTACAAAATATAAATTTATCCTAACATTACAGAAATATTCAGTTAATATAAATATTGATTAATAACAACATCATTGAATGTTAATACTTTATAGATAATAAAAAAAAAGAGCACAATAAACAACAGAATATAATAAATTAAAAATAGACTGGCGTTTTAAGCTTGTCGTTTACAATAATAATGATAAGAATAAAAATAATAATATAGTTTAACAAAATGTATTAAATAAAAGAAAATGAAGTGAAGAAGATATGGAGTTCATAGTTTACTTGTAGATCTTGATAACATCTTTGATAACAGCTCTGCAAATAGGACATCTACCTAAACGAACCCATTGTTTTTTAGCACATTCATAACACATGCAAAGATGACCACATGTGTATAAAGCACAATCCACATTTCTTTCAAAACATATTGAACATTCTCCTTCACCGGAAGGTAATGGCTGTAATTAAATTAAAAATAAAATTAGAATATTAAATATTTAATGAATTATTTCTATATAATTTATGTCAGTATATTCTTAAATTAAAATGTTTATAGATACCTCTGGAATATGTACTTGTTGAGGAGGAGGTGAAAGTCTAGGCTGTACTTGTTGAATAGTCACTGATGGAGGTCTCACTGTGGATTGGATGGATGATACTTGTGACAAAGCTGGAGAAGGATGACAAACTTGACTGGATTGAGCTGCAGGCAAGTTTACAATTAGTACTGTTCCACCGTTAGCGTCTGTGTTAACTTCTAATATATTGGATCTAACTATTGGTGGTGGAGGAGATGCATAACACAAAGCTTGGTGGTTTTGTTGTGGAGACGATGAAACCGGTTCATAAGAAGTAGATGGCTGCAATGAAGATTGTGTAATAATGTTTTGCATACAACCTATTGATTAAAACAAATTAGGTTAAAATAGTAAAACACATAAATAAAATTCTTGCATTTAACTTACCACCATTAGAATTTGGAGGTAATGGAATTTTCGATACAACTATTTGAGTCGTAGTACCATATATATCGAAAACTCCCCAAAGGGTTTGAGAGTGATCGACACACATTAAAACCACTTCCAGACCACCGTTTTTAGCACACAAAACTTCGCCATTGTGATTGATGGAAAACACCAAAATGTCACCAGGTTTTGTTTCTTCAGCAACGTTTCTACTCATTACCCAGTATTCCCGTCTATCAACTAATTGGTTGGGATCGTCTGGTAATTCTCCGATACCGATAGTGTTGGGATCGCAACAAGTGACTCCAAATGACAAACTCCCCACGTACAATTGACTAGTTTTTGTGATCTATAATAATGAATTATCTTGTTAATAAATTACAATATAATTTATATACATAGAATAGATTGAACTTAATAAATTAATATTTACCTGTACGACATATTTTTCACCTATGACAAGAGGGCGTTTAGTAAAAGTGTAGCCTTGGAAGAAGGCTGTGGACAGTCTAGTGCCAACACAAGGAACTCCATCTTTCATACTAATCATAACATGACGTCCTTTGCGGGCCAATTCTACTGGTTCTAAATGTTCACTAAAAGGAACCCGACGCACTGCCGGAGGAGATATTGTCATTGTAGACATTTGTGAATTAAGATCTGAAGAATCTTCAATACTAAAATTAATCAAAAACAACTGTTAGTATCAAAAAGGAAGATGGATTAGCTAAGGTAGTTTAAAATGTGAACAAACCTCCTACGATTATTATTTAATTGTGGTCGACAATCCAAGAATTCGACAATGGTTGAGTTGCCATAAATGTCCATAAGTACCCAGAGAGGAGACCTGGTATCTATTCCTTGCATAAATACTCCTTTTGATTCGCCATTAAGACCATAGTGGACATCGCCACCAGCATCCACATAAAAAAAGAGTACTGCGTCGTTATTTGCATGTCTTTCGCTTAATGCTTTGGCCCAAAATCCCGACTTACTAGTTAAATCTAAAAAAAAAAAACAATTTCATACAAGGCTGAAAATCTCACAAGTTAAATAGTAAAAAAGGATGTATTACCTGGGCAAGCATACTTAGGCACTTTCTTAATGTTGAGAGGATCTTCGCTGGTAAAACCAAAACGAAGCACTCCACTCCAATTATCGGATATTTCCAAAAATTTAACGTACACCCTTTCGTTGATAGCTACAGGTCGGCAGCTAAAAGCCACTCCTTTGCAAAAACTTTCCACACGCTTAGCAACGAATCCGTTTTTGTATAGTCGTACGTTGTCACCGTGTACGTTGTGGAACCTCAGTGGCGGCAAGTTGGGATTGACAGTGCCCGTACTCGATTTCGGAGCTAAAACCGACCAAACAAACTTCCATTAGCAACGGCCTACATTATTTTATTATATTGTACTAGTTGTGTGGACATCTTACTATATTAAAAATGTCACGGTGTCTAACCATTTCCCACGACATAAAATATAATATAAAAACAATAATCTTAAGAATAATGTCGTAAAGAACTAACAAAGAAATATAACAATTGCCGCGGGAGTGTTGGTCAGACGACAACTATGAAGTATAACAATTGACCAAAGGACCCGACCATACAGCCTTTTATAATTGTTAGTCATTTCTTTTAATATTCTTCAAAAAACATTATATTTAAAGAATATTTATATTCACAAAGGCATAAAAAATCATTTTTTTAGTTTTCTCTTTTATTGAGATTTTACCCTAGTCTTTAGATGACTATAACTGTTTTTTTTTTGCACATCCGGTTTAATGTGTAATTAAAATATTCGGTGTTCAACTCATAACGTATACGTAAAACATAAATGGTAAAATATCAGCATGTGTTAGCACGTATAAGTTGTGTGTAACTATTAGAGCAACTAAAAAAATGTATTAGTCTCGGAAGCCAAAAGGGGGAAAATAAAGCTGAAGAATACACTTGAACGATAAGTAGGTATCGTATAAGTAAAATTTATATTACATTCAGCTGGGCGAAGAAACTGTCATAGAGCATTTCCGGTATTTTACATACTCCCTCACTGTCGACAGCTGCTACACATTACACGTCTACAGGATGTCCGAATTTCCTATCCCCACTCAAATATTTACCTGAACTACAGTGATAAACAATATACCGAGCTTATCACTTTTTATTATTTATTAATTGACATACATATTAATCGACGATGAATTTGCCCGATAGTTGTTCGCATAATATTTATTTAAATGGATCACGTCGGCTACGTTTTGTATGCGTATCAGGCACAGGCGGTTACGAATACACACACTCATACAAGCAACCGTGAGAACGAAATGATGTCACTATACTACCGTTCGTTGACGATTTGGTCAAAGTCAAATATAAAATAATAATATTAACTGCGATAGGTTGTTTTGTAGATGCACAAGCTAAAAACATTACTATTCTACTTCAAGTAACGCGTTTGTCTGTGCATTTGAAATAATGACAAACAGAAAATAACGGTTTTCTTTCGACCAATGAGAAGAAGACTATATTCTGAGGGGGTTGGTGACCCTAACAACCCTCATGGGAACGCGCGCCATCTGCATTTATTCGGTCCGCAGCACCAAGTCCTCTTATCCCGCGCTTTTAATTTTTTTAAGTCCCAGGGGTGGACAAGGGCGAAAAGTCGTGTAAAACCAAATTGTGTCCCTTCATTCATATCACTGCGAATTTCCCAATTGGAAAAACTCTCGTGGGATAAAATATATTCAAAGGGTAAGAAAACAATTAATTTAATTCATTTTAAATTAAAAAAATTTAAGTAAAGTTTAAAAAATGGCATTCTTAAAAATTAATATAGTTATTAACATACCAAGACCAATTTTTTTCCGGATTTTCTTTAGACCTTTCATTTTGAACTTGAGAGGCGCTAAAAAATGATCGACACTGCACTGACACGGCGGTTCGGGGGCGGTCACCGCGGATCTGCTGATGCTATTCACGTTGTTGACCGTACCGAGCACACCCATTTAAAATAACTTAGTAAAAATAAAGAAATTAACTCAAAACCATATACACTCACAAAACAAACTTATCAAAAAAAAAACGTAGTCGGTAAAATTATTTTCCTTATAGAGTATGAAACGACCAGTTGTCGTGATCGGCTTCAGAGCGGAACTGACTGCCGTACCGCCACCGCCGCTGGTCGTCGATGGGCACGCGTCTCTGACATCTGCCGTGATCGGTTTGGTAGCAGTCGCGATGGTGGTGGTGGTATAGCAATAGACTAGTTTTCGTGGTGGTGGGGACGGACACGGTTCGGCGCAGGTGGTGTATGTATAACTCTGTCAAAGACTTTAACCTGCGATTTTCACCTGGTGCCGTCGACGTTTTTGTTATATGCAAAAATTACAATACGGAGGAAATATAAAATCCGAGCTAGTCCTTTTTTTCACCTTTTAACATGGATCGTTAAAAAGTTAGGCGGGTCCAAGAAGAGCCATAAAGTCTTCAATAGAATTATTTTCTTTATAAAAAAAATCATAAAAATCCGCTGAAAACTAAGGAATCGTTAGATCACTTAGGATATTTATAATATCGATGTACCGACGGCACAACTTCTATAATTCAACAATAAATCATTGGCGTTATTTTAGGGGACAGAGTGGAGATTCGTCCCCCTTAAAAATGCATGATGTTAATTTCATTAGATGCTCACAAAAATAAAATTTGTGTGATAAAATACGATCAACATCATGTAATATTAGCATTATGTAATTTTTAGAATTTTGTTAACACTTAATAGTATTTTGTATACTACCATCGATTTTTTAAAAATACGCTGTAATATAGACTTATAGATAATAAACATCGTCATCATGTGTAAAAATTTAGCAAAAATAAAAAGTTAAACATTTTGTATTATAGATGTCCATTTTTGACATGTACGTAAAATGCGTTGTTATAATTTGCAAAATAAAAACTTTTTTTTTTTATTACAGATAAAAAAATGTTAAGAACAAAATTGTTTTTAATTTTTTTTCCTATCATTTTATCAAATAAAAATAGGGAGTTTTATCCATGAAGAAATGAACTCTTTAATTACATATAATTGTAGAGCTTATTGAGCCTAATATTTTTTTTTCATTCAAAAAATTAAAAATTCTCGGTAATAGTGTTGAATACTAGCAAACTCCAGGGGAACTTAGACAATTTGACACCGCACGTAGACAATTATACTATAATTATTTTCGAAAATTGACCCAATGTTTCGTTTAACATTAAGTGGAAAACAATTTATTTTTGTATTAATTTTGTGAAATTATAGGAACACAATTTTTTTGTTTGTACCAATGTTAAGGATACCCTAGAATACATTTCTAAAACACTGTTCAATAGTTCTTGAAAAAATAAGGAACTTACCAAATTGATTTTACTTGTATATACAGAGTGATCGGTTTATCATAAATCACTCGATGCCTTGCAAAATAAATTTTGATTTCTTTTAGTTACATAAATTTCTGTATTTATCAGCTATTATTTACTTTTTACAATCGTCCCTTATAACTTAAAGGAGTGTCAACTTTTTTTTTTTAAATGGCAACATACATATTTATATAGTTTATAAAATAGGAAATAATCAAATTAAAAAAATGACTGGTCTGTAAATTTTGGATCAATATTTCTGAAACAATTTAAAGTAATAACAAGAGACGAGGAGTGGATGCTGCTATTATTATCACTAGACATTTCCCAGCTGTACTCTTCCTCCACCTAGGTATAAAAATAAGAATAACTTCCAAAGGACCGGTCCAAAAAATGTTATCGACCAGTTCAGGGAGGAAGAGTACAGCTGGCAAATGACTAGCGATAATGATAGCAGCACCCACTACTCACCTCCTGCCTATACTTTAAATTGTTAATAATTTCTGAAATGTAGATCCAAAAGATTTTATCGACCAGTCATTTTCTTAATTACATTACTTCTTATTTTATAAGTTATTTAAATATGTATGTTGTCATTAAAAAAAATAAAATTGACACCCCTATAAGTTATAAGGGATAGTTCTAAAAAGTAATTCATAGCTGACAAATCAATAACTAAAAGAATTCAAATTTTTTTGGTTTATGATAAACCGATCACCCTGTATAGGTAAATAAGTATTATTTTATCAATATGTGTACTAACTTAAAAAATGCACTGATGACAGTAGTAAAAGAAATTTATTTTGCGAACTATCAAATGGTTTATAATAAACCGATCACCCTTATATAAAGTTGTCCATAGTAATATTGAAATCGCCATCGAAAAATTGTTAAGTCCATTTCAAAAAATATATTTGCCTCCTTTCAAAATCTAAAATGACGCTACTGTGATATATAATTTAATTGTTGTTGATTTACAAGACAAACCGAAACCGTAGAACAATTATATTCTATAATATACTAATTATATTTTATATTAACAATGAATCATTGTGAATCCATTTATATATATATATAACCGTCAATAAAAAAAGGTCTTGTTTAAAATGACAATACACTAAAGTTCCATTTAATATAAATAGAGACTGTCAAGGTAATTAGAAATTTACTGATTAAAACTTTGAGTTGCTTATTTCTCAATAAGTGTTAACAACTAAATCATATGTGTTATGGTTTATCAATGCTATTATATAACTTACTAATCTCATCTATGAACAATGTCATTCAATATAGTTTAATTAATAATACGTGTATACAATTTGCGTTTTATTAGTCACACAAGTGGAGCTATACAATATCAATGATAGAAATTTATTTCTATCATTACAATTTTGTGTATATAAGTAAAATTGAAACACTTCTGGGTATAACTAGAAATTTGAATCTGTAGAGGCTAAAGTTCCGTCATTTTTGGGATCTATTTAATGTCGCACAATGTCGCACTAATATGCAATGTTAAGCAAGAAATAAGAGGAAGACATTTGACTTATATTAATGGCAATATTAAAATATATATTTTTGACAATATTAATGGTAAATGGCTTAAAATATTTCTTCAAATTAGACCATTTATTGTTGATACAATAATTAATCCTCTTATTTATTACGAAAATTCATCTTTAACTAATTTTTTCGTTATTTTTTTTTTAGTATTTATTTTTTCTAGTTAAATATTATACATTAATTATAATAATCCAGTTTCTCTTTCATAAATTGTAATATAACAGTAAAACGTTAATTACTTTAACAAATTAAATCTTCAATTATAAATTTTATATTTATGATATAAAAATTGATATCAAAGTTCCACAGATAGATTAGCTAGATCATCTAATATTTTTTCTAAATATTTTTTGCCTTGTTAATTAAGCATTAATAAAAATATTACA